ATTTCTATACAGATTTCTTTGCTAACATAAAAATAATTTGCATAATTTATAATTTTCAAGCTTTACATTATAAGGTTGTCTTCTAATTTTAGGTATATATGGAAACACGAAACTACTCTCAAATTAAACTAACCAGTAACCAGAACAGTGATAGCTGCTATTTATCTAGCTATCTAATAATTTTAAAACTTGGTTGTAGTATTTAAAGCACTCCCAACTTCCTCTAATCATTTAAAGTATGCCGTTCTTTTTTTCTTTTCTTTTTTTTTTTTTGGACCTTTTTCTGTTAAATCGCAGATATTGTCCCCTCTTATTGTCAGCATATTCCCTCCAGACTCTGGGTACTCCCACATTTCTGATTCTCAGGCACCTTAATCACAATAGATACTTACCCTTAAAGGCTGTCTTTGAATTTCTTGTCTCTATCTAACTTAGTGGAATTCCCCTCTACTTACTTCCTTTTATAGTATCTTGTCATTTTAAATGACAAATATTTATAGTATGAATGAAATAAAATCTCTTATGTCTGTAGCCTTTCTTTATTATATTTTATCCATCTCTTTAACTGAAATCAGTTGTGGAAATAAAGACCACCCAATGAGAACAGAGGCTATTTATTCAGAGCTTGTTATTGCAAGGGAGTCAGCCACTGTCACTTGTGTTTGACAGACTCAAAGCAGGCAGGAAAGTGGAAAGCTTTATAGTGAGAAAAGGGGGAAGGCTTCAGGTGTTCTCTGATTGGAAGTTGTTGACATGAAAAAGCTGCAGGATAGCTAACTAGAAGCTGGGCATCTTATGTGATTGGTTTGGTGAGCATATTTGGTTTTCTCTGATTGGTCCTAAGATGGGAGAGGAGGGGCAAAAAAATAGAGAAGCTGGCCAAGTCCTGAACATTCTGGGCCACTTGCTACAGCTATAAAGGTTGAGATTCGGCTTCCCAGACTAGTTGATGCAGAGGTTGTGGGTCAGTTCTATTGTTATATGTGATCTTGCTTTTGTCCATTTGTATATTCAGTCTCTACAAGCTTCCCACTGACCACATCATTTCCTTTGCTACTCACCCTGGTGGCAGCTTTTCAGTTTCCTGATTTCCTGGGATGAGGAAGGATCAGCTCCCCTAGATATCTTTCAGATCATTGTTCCATTAGCATTCCTATCAGTTACTCTTCATGAAATGCCCATCCCCCATATTCTTTTCTGTTATCTACTAAACTCAAATGAGTTCATCAGACATTATTGGATAACATACATATCCCACTACCTTGTTCTTCAGGAGATAATACTCTAGCAAGAGAATTGACACACTAAAAATATTTTGGTGCCTCTTGGTAAGTGTATAACAGAAGTAAAATTAAAATTCTACTAAATTAACTTAGGTGATATTTCAAGTTAGTCTTGAGATACGAATAGGCAGAGAAGAAGAGGGAAGCAATGGCTGGACAGTATATAAGAGATAGAGGTGATAACATAGGTATGGACGGGAAATGTTAAGAGAATCAGGTATTCAGAGGGGCTGAACTTCATACTGACTGAACCCTCTCTTCCCATTCCTCATTCTCCACTTAATTCTGATTCCCACCTTAGATCTAATTATCCCCTAGAATTGCATTATGTTGAATGCCTGCCCCCCAGGTATTATTGACCCAACTTATTGATAAGATAAAGCTAAGTTTATTGCTTTATAGTCGTAAGGGAAGGCACCACCTCAACAGAGTTTTGGCAGTGTCTCAGAGGAATAACAGCAAAGTCAGAATTTATTGAGAATTTAAAGTTGACTGAGGCAGGTCTTTAAATGCCTGAGGTGGATTGGGGGATAGGATGAGCATTTGAATAGGATTGGGTAAAGATTGTGAAAAAGCAGTCCAACGTTGGTAGAAATAGCAAGGAGAAGATTTTTGAGGCAAGGGATGAAAAAAATCTTAGGGCTTAAACTATGTATTGATGCTTACTACTGAAGAGTTGACATATCTTTCAGAAAGTTCTGTATTGAGCAATCAAGTTACTTGCTTGGGGAAGAATCTCTTGGAATTGAAAATTATGTTCATGAAGACAGTATAATACTACAGTCATATTAATGTAGACAATAAGTGGGGGTTGGGGAGTAGTTTGGGTTCTTAATCACCTGCAGTATCATTTCAAACTCTGAAATGTTTTGTCTAATTCCAGGTCTCTCCTTCACTCACGTGCTCTAATGCCTTCTGAGTTTTTTCTTGGCCTTTACCATAACCTTAGCAACTCTTATTCTCCTTTTTGCAAGCTCCTCCTTGCTTCCCAACATGAGTAATCTGTTTAACCTGATGTTTATTAATAATCCACAAAGGGAGTAAGCAAAATGTAGAATAATGTAAAATATAAATGGACAACATCATAGCTTTTTATATTAAAAATCTAGGGTGAAGCCCATTTTAAAAAGATAATACTGTATAAATCCTAAATTTTTATCTTTAAAAAAAAGTATGGTGGAAAAATCCAAGTTATGTGACTCTCAAAGTACAATAATGAAAGAATTAGAAGATTATATTAACAAATAATTGACTGAGCTAATGTATTAATAAGTTTTAATATGTTCTTTCTTTGGGTCTATTTTCAACATTTTATATATTTTTCTATTTCTTGGTAATGGGTATTTGATTTTCTATTATGTTCTAGATTTTCTAATGTTCTAATGTTTTATAGAAAAATGCTATGTTATAGAATTAATTTCTTTGTGGAGTGAAGAAAAAATAGTCACGTATTAACTAGTATTTGTGATAATATTTTATAGTGTCTGTTCTTCAGAGAAATGTTAATTCCTGTATTTTCTTTCTATTTAGGCCAATTTACGTCAGAAAGTTACTCACTCAGTACAAACTGATCTTAGTCACATGAGAAGAGAAAATTATTCCCAGGTGTACCTTTCAAAGAACTCTGGCACCCAGTCGCTGAGGGAAGGCAGCACTGGAGTGCCCAGGCCCCAGATTTACTTAGCTGGTCTTCGAGGCAAACCGAGCAAAGTCACCCATGATGTCAAGGTGAACTTAACCAGAGCTGTTGATGAAACCTAGTTAGAGGCCACATTTTAAAAGTAGATGTTACCCAATTATGAGCAATGGTAATTACTTAAAAATATTTACATCCATGAAAATTAATTTTGTGGGGGTGGCACATTTGTTGGTTGGGTGACTGTTTATTGGATTCCCACATGCTATCAAACTGCTACAAAAAGCTAAAAGTTGTTTTCTGTAACATATTTTCATTCTATTAAAATAGAAAAGTAAAACTGTCCACTTGTCATTTATTTGTTACAAGTTTGGCAGCATTAAGACTGAAATTATGTCACTTAGATATTAATATAAGATTATTATTATTGGAATAGAAGATTATTTATTTCTAGAATGACATTCAATGTCATACATTACAATTTTAAAACCTAATCAATATTTCCAGCTTGATTAGCTATTAAATGTTAACATACATTAAACTGAGATATAAGAAAATCTTACTAGTTTGGAACAAGTTGGAACAAAGGTCCACATGATGTTTTTCAAAATCTGGAAATTTTACATAAAATCTATATTTCTAGCCCTTTGGAAAAAATTAGAATACCTGGTAACAATTGGCTAGTATGTCTGCAAATAGTTTTGCCCCTTCACAGGGCAGGTATTTCCAGTCCTCCATCGTCTAATCCAGTTCTCTGCCTTACGGGCCTCCCCCTTTACTCCTTTGCCTCATTTGCCTGACCCTGTAGGCAGTTGTGTTTAGGACCCCTGTGACTCACTGATAGCTAAATTTTAGAGCTATGGTTTTATTACTGCCTTACATACTTCTAATACCAATTCACGGATAATAAAGGCTTCATACGGAGGGCTTGTTAAACTTGCCTTAGTACCTGGGGGGTCATTTGTATTTAGCACATTTTTTCTGCACAGGTGACTTTTACTAAGGTGTTTGTATAATTTGTATAAATATGTAGTTTAAATGTTATTTATAATACGAATGTGCTTTGAAATCCATTTTCCATGGGTAAACTTCAAACAGGCCTACTTCTAAGTTTTCATAATTTTCATTCCTGGAGTTTAAAGATGATGTTAAAGATAGACTAGCTGGCTATTAAGGCAGGGCCTGGGGGAGTAGGGTGATACTAAAATTTACAAATTCAGGAATGCGATTTTATCTGTTCAGTTAACTCTCATCTGGGTCTGCAAGATTCCTAAACACAGAAAAGAATGGCTGTAAGCCAGAGTTTGGGGTTATCAAGTTAGGGCTAGAAGTAGAATGGCCAAGTGAGTAAAAATACCAAATCCAATTTGAATAGCCAAACTTAATATCAGAAAGTCACCTGGGAAGTACAACAGAATCCGAGTAAAGGGAGCTAGATCTGATGGTAAACTTACCCTCTCCCAGGATCCCCACCATTTAATCAAGGCCCATCCTAAAGTTTTCCAACATATGCTGGACCCAGTGTCAGATCGTCAGTCCCATTTCAGCACAGACCAGAATAATTTTTTCTGCCAAACTTGTTTCCCCTTCTTTATTTTCTTCTATGGTCAAAGGCATCACCACCTTACTCAGTTACATAAATTAAAAATTTCTTGATTACCTTTCTCCCACAGCCCCTACATTTAACTAGTCATCAAGCCCTGTTTATTTGGCTCGAATTGTGTTTGAGATCCATGTCTTCCTATTCTCACCTCCACTGCTGCAGTTTAGGACTTCGTCCTATTGCCTGGGCCACTGCCGCCTCCATTTTTAAAAATGATTCATCAGGATAATTTTTCTTATGCACCTGGCTTCCTCCTCCCCCCACAACCTCCACCTCCCTTGCTTAAAAACCTACCAGGGCTCCTCTCAAGTAAAAACTCCTTCACATGTTATGTAAAACTTTTCAAAATATGATCTCCATTTATATTCGTTTCATCTTCTGCCCTCTTATATTCTCTCCACACACCACACACATCAGCCAAATTGAACTAAAACTCTTTAAATAGGCATGGTCTTTAATACCGTCACTCTTGCTCTTGCTTTTCACTCTGTCCCCTGCAATGTGCTCCACAGGCACCCCCATGAAATTCTATTTATGCTCAAACAGTCTGATCACAATTTTCCTTTTCTGTGAAGGTTTTTCCCATCACTTTTGAAAGAATTAGTTGCTTCTTCCTTTGAGTTTTCATTGGATTTTATTCTTACTCTCATTGTAGTACTTAAACTGGTGTATAGAGAGGTATGTATCTATATTCTCCCTGTTAGATTATAAATTTCTTGAGATTTGAACTATGTGTTAGTTATCATTATATCCCTTATATTTGTATAGTATCTTATTGGATAAATGAGTGGAAAAAAAGAGTGAATGAAGGGACAAACTGGAAGCAGGGTATTTGCCGAGTGATGATTTTAATAGTAAAGGTGGGAGTTGATAAGGAGGTCAGTAGTAAAATAGTTACTGCAAAAGAAGAGGGAGAAAAAGGGAGAGAGGAAGAAGGAGACTATTTTTTGGGACGTGCTAGCAAATAAAGTTGAGTAGGCAGAGTTAGTAAACTTTTTGGAGGACTTTGAAGGCCAAGCAGAGGAATATTTTGCCTACCTGTAGTAGGACATTACAAAACCATGGCAGAGTCTTAGATAGAAGACAGATTGTGGGAGAGGGATACTGGAGTTAGGGAGATGGCCAGGAAGCTGTTCCAAGAATTGGGGCATGTGGTAATGGAGGACGTGAAGGGGCAAATGCTAGGTTTAATTAAGGGGTTATAACATCTCAGGAAAGGGAAGGAAAATTCAAAGTATGACCTCAAGGTTTCTGCTTAAGGAGATCAAGGATAATTGGGAAGAGGAGCTGGTTAGTCAGAAAAGATAACATGTTCAGCACTAGAAAATTTGAGTTTAAGGGACGACAAGCATAGTAAAGCAGGGGTGATAGGAATTTGGGCTGGACAAAGATAATTTGGGAGGTCATCCCTATGGGAATGGAGGTAGAATGAGGGGGAAGAGTGGACAAAATAAGATAGATTAGCAGTCAGAAGAGTAGAAAAAGATGTAATTTCTATGGTCATGGAAGAAAAGTCTAGCTCTACTACTTACTAGTTGTGTTCCTTAATAACTCTCTGCTACAATTTCTCTATCATAAAAATGAGAATAATAATAATAGTTCCCAACTTATTGGGTTGTCATGGGGATTAAAGGAGTTAACAGATGAAAGCACTTATATAATCAGTGCTTTGTCAGCATCAGCCAATGGAGGAGAGGCTCTCCAATGTCTCATTTCTACTGCACCTCCATCCTCCTTTTTTCCACTTTTGTTTTCTACCTCTCAGTGCCTAGAATAATGCTTGGCACATTATGATTTTCAATAAATGATGAATAAAGAAACAAAAGAGGATGACGAATTAGAAAAGGTCAATGGAGTAGGCAACTGCTGAGCTCTCTTTTAATAGAATTGGCTTGAGTAGAAATAAGATTGCAGCAAGATAAGCATAAAATGGTAGAAATAGGTACAAACTATCAATGTCTGCTTGACAGGAAGAGGAAAGTGAGATTATGGTAACTAAAAAAGGAAGCAGAGGCAAGGGAGAGTTAAGCTCAAATAAGAAATGTTTGGATACTGATGATTATTACTCATGATAAACTCTTAGTCCAGACATTGAGTTTCACATTATCTCCTTGTATCTTTTTATTTTCTCAATTATAAAATGCAGCATTTCTTTTGGCTTGTTTTTAGTAGTATTACACCATAGGAAAGAATAGTTTTAAAATAACAATAGCTTGATTAGTTTTGGGTGCTTTTCTTTGTAGGAGAGTAATATGCTTAAACTGTCATGGAAACAATTTTGTTTAGGTATCTGTATTTGTCTATATGTTCTTTATGGTTAACTGCTTACTATACTTTAAACATTACCACATTTAATAATCTATTCTATAGCTACCATATTTGAATTTAACTATAACCTCCTTAAACCTTTTGATATTTGCTTCCTCACAGCCTTTTTGTTTAATTAAGTTCATACTTTTACTTTACTACCAATGTATATAATACTGGGCTTCCTTTTATACAATTCATTTAGACTAGGGTATTTCTCATGCTCACAGGGATAGAAATGGGCAGGGTATTGAGGCAAATACTGCAGTTTGCTAGTGACAAGCAGGAATATCATTAGGATCTCAAATGGCAATAGCAATAACAGCTTGAAGCCCTGTAAGTTTAGTTTGTCAAGCAAATTACCTTGTACCTTGATGTTGAGGATTGCTGCTTCTTGTTCTAATCAGCAGTGAAGCTAGTTATTAGGGAAGAAAGCTAGGTATACATAAAAGAAACACATTAAATCATTACTTTTTCCTCCAAGATTTAGTGTAATTCAGAGTGAGAAAGTAAAAATTAGCTTAGACTAAGACTGTAAATATCTGCTTGGCCATTAACTGGGCTGGTATAACAAACAGATAAAACCAGCTGCAAATAAACAGGAAATAATATTTCTTCTAAGGATATGCCGAAGCCGTAAAGTGTAACAACCCCCTTCTTTGAGTGTTTACTTTCTAATTCACTGAAAAACTTTGTGTTCTAAAATCATATACTATAAAGAAACTTACTGCTTGAAATTTTATCAGTAAGAATGAAATACCCCATTCTTGCTTGGAGGATCTAAGTCACTTTGATACAGAGAAGCAGCCCCAATTTCCAATGTAGGTGTAAAGGCTTCATTTAAGGGGCTCCTGAATGCAACATTCCACATCTATAGTAACTTTCTAGTTTCCAAGAAACAGGATCCTGAGACTATTCTACAGTCCATACCTGATGTTGACCTCTTTCCACATAGTCCTGTTTTGAGTCTTACCAAAACACTGCTTTCTTTAAATTTCACTTAACCCCATCCTTGCCTAAAATTCTGTAAATCTGTCTTTTTCTTTCTTTCCTGAGACATCCCATGGTTCCTTTGGTGTTCAGTTTCCCTCATTGGAATGAGTCAAATAAATCTGATTTCGTCAGAGTATAGTTCGACAGGTTTTTCCTGGTGGTCTTGAGCTGATTGGATTAGGACACGGGGTCATCAAAACCTAGTCAAGTCTCATTCCAATGGAGCATAAGTCTCTTGGGACAATAAAAATATATAAGAAAAGTAGGATTCAGTAGCATGATGTTATGTGAACAAGAAATACCACAAAAATGGCCCAGCAGTATTTTACCCACCACCCTAATCTGTGTGTGTGCATGTGTGTGTGTAATACTGTTCATCACCAGAAGGAATGATGGTTTCTTAAAGTGTAGTTGATTCCACCACCTTGGACAGGGGAAAAAAAATCCAGATTGGCCTGGAACCTCTTGTTGCCAGAAAAAAAAAAAGTTTCAAAAAGCTGATGCAGGCCAGGCGTGGTGGCTCACGCCTGTAATCCTAGCACTCTGGGAGGCTGAGGCGGGCGGATTGTTTGAGCTCAGGAGTTCGAGACTAGCTTGAGTAAGAGTGAGACCCCGTCTCTACTAAAAAAAAAAAATAGAAGGAAATTATCTGGACAACTAAAAAATATACACAAAAAATTAGCCGGGCATGGTGGCGCATGCCTGTAGTCCCAGCTACTCGGGAGGCTGAGGCAGAAGGATCGCTTGAGCCCAGGAGTGTGAGGTTGCTGTGAGCTAGGCTGACGCCATGGCACTCACTCTAGCCAGGGCAACAGAGTGAGACTCTGTCTCAAAAAAAAAAAAAGCTGATGCAGACTTTAAAATGGGGGCAGGCTTACAAGGACCATATTGGGACAATTTGAGTATCAAAAGGAGAATAATTATAGAAGTAAGTTGAGACTATAATGATAGTCCAAAATGGAAAGAGGTAAATAAACCATACAAAGTGGTAGCTGTAAAGCAAAAGAAGGAATATATGATAGAATATTTTTCAATTTTTAAAATTAATTTCAATACATATATGAGCTTTCTGTGTACATACACAGTAGGGAACTGAATAACCTCCACGGGTGAAAACCACCAATTACAGGAAGAGGTGATTAGTACCAGTGAGCATACTTACAAACAGGTATAGGGAAAGTCCAGCACTGTTCCAAAATGAAATTAATCAACTGTCTTACTCTGTCTTACTCTATTCAACTCTAGTCTTTTGGGAGCCACTCCTAATATTAATATGATGCTAATAAGGCATGTAGAATTTTCCAGTGATGTTAATAGATCAGATATATCTCTCCGATAATATAATGACATGACAATGATATATAACATTCACCATTCAACCCTCTAAAAAGACAATTTTGGGGAAAGATCATGCTACAGAAAGTGTAGGCTGCTGGGCACCTCAGAATCTTGCATCCCCGTTCCTGTAAGGGCTGAAGTATCTTTATAGTGTTTTTAACCAATCCACAAATCTTGAACATTGCTCATTTTGCCAAAGAATTGTTTCTAATATCGCTTGTGCTAATTAACATCCCCTAGTGAAAGAGGAGATTTAACTACTATAGTAATGGTTAAAGTGCCCGTTGATACATCTAATATTTTTGAGGCCCTTTTGTTGTCCGAAGATAATGTAGTTATAATGTCTGGTCAAGTAAATGTAATCAGTGACAATGTTGACGATATGCATACAGGCACAAGACTTCTTAACAATATGTAACAAATTACACTAATCTTAAACACATGGTAACAATGGAAGGTAATGAGCTAGGTGGAAGTTATAATAGTTGCCGAAAGTAGATTCTGTTGCTTTACGAGTTCCAGGAGCTTCTCCAACAGCGTCAACAGGAATAAATCCCTAAATCTAACCCCAAATCCTTATCAGCTGCCTAGTCACCTTTGTGCGGACTACAATTCCCAGAAGGCAACGCGCGGCTCCCTTGACTCCGCTTCCTTGGTCCGCTGGAGTTGCCGTTTACAGAACAGTGTCTTCGACCGAGTTTCACACACTTGTCACTGAGGACAGGCCACCGCCCCCGCCCCTGCATCCGGGTTCTTCCAATTTTGGGGAGTGGCTCGGATTCCTGAACCTAATTTTAGAGCTTGGCTAGGCTGGCAGCCAGTGGGCGGCCGGCGGGCGTGGCGCTCTAGGCCGGGCGGGTTCGTCTCTATGACCACAGGCGGTCCCGGGTGTCTTGCGGAGGGGGCGCGCGTCAGTTCCGCGCGGGGCTGTCGGGGAACCATGGCTGCCCCGAGAGGTGAGGCCGGGGTCCCCGGGGTGGGGACTGCGCGGGGGGGGCGGCAGCGCACCCTCGGCGCCTGCGGGGCTTCGGTCCCGGGCTGAGGCGACGGGCTTCAGGAGTTGGTGTGGAGCCGCTCTCTGGCTGCGGGGCAGCGCGGGCAGCCGGCCTCCCACTGCGGCTGCCTTCCCGCGGCGGACTCTGCGCGGGGCAGGTCGGTGGTCCGAGACTGCACTTGGCTCCACTAGCTGGTAGCGGGTGGGAACCCAATTCTGCCCGGGCGGGGCTGCGGCAGACCCGGAGAGGGGCCTGGGCACAGGTCCTGGGCTGGCCCCGCCTAACCCAGCGGGAGGCTGGACAGTTCTCCGTGCTCGCCCGGGCCACAGCGGCTTCGGTCTCAACTCTGCCTCCTGCCCTGCAGATGCTCAGAGACTTAAAGGCATGCTCTAGGTGCAGAGCCCAGGCGGCGGCTGGCCCATATAATAGCCACTACTAACATCACTGGGGCATTAAAACAGCACTGAAATCTGCAGAGATAGAGAAAGCAGTCGTTAACAGAGTTCCTCCCGAGGAAAATACTGTATGTGGTTGGTTAGAAAGAACACTTAGATAATTGGGGTGGAAGGTGAGATCCACAACCCTCCTCCCAGGAATGGCACATTTGGGTAATAATATTTGGTGACTAATTGCCGTTTAAAGAGGGTGAGTCTAATTAACTCTGCAGCAGCACTTTTGTTTTGCCAAGCGGTGTATGTTAAGTTGAGACCAGAGCTGAATGCTGGGACTATAGAGCAGTAGCTAGGTGAGGTTGGGTGACATCCGGATTCTTTCTCCACCCTTCCACAATAGAGCACTTAGCTTCACCTTTGGATAAATGCTGAACAAATATTTAAGGAATATCTTTTTGCGTGGGTGCCAAATTATTTTCCTCGTTGGGGAGCCCACATTTATGATCAGGCCTTGCCCAAGGGCATTGTCTGTAGTTGCATATGCCTCTCCGTATGTATTCTCCCATTTCAACAAGTCCAACTTTAAGAGACTTTTTGTAGCAACACAGGACATAAAGGAAAACATAGAATTGTTTTGATAACTAACATAGAATGGAGACAGCAAAATTAATGAACGAAACTTAAAAATTACAGAAGTCAAACCATTACCTGAAATAGCTGAAATTTACAGATTTAGGCTTATTGCCAGGACATATTTGTTGTGCCTTAGTTGTGTCACAAGTCTTATATGACCAATAGAAATGTATAATCCTAACAAAATTGCAGCTTCCATAGCTTACTGATATTCACAAAGGATTTATCTGGGACTTCCTGAATTTCCAAGTTTTCAGGTATTACAAATAATGTCCCCCATAAAATATAGTAAAATATAACTTCAAACTGTTTCTTTTGGGGGACATTTTCCAGACAGAAACAAATATGTGGGAGCTAATGGGAACTTTAGAAGAAGCAGAGAAAAATGCAGGTTTAAGATGTGACTGCCAGTTGAGTTATGGGTTAGGTTTGTAGTTACCAGCTTTGGGCATGATTTGAATTCTTGGCAAAATTTAAAGTGATTACATATCATGGACTTTTGATATTACCCTGAAAAAATTGAAATTGCTAATAATTGAAATTTTATACTAGAAAATTTGTGAATGGAGTGAAGAAGAAATATTTTGATCCAATATTAAACTGAAATGTCAGAGAAAATCATGGTTAAAAACATTCAGTATGTTTTAAAATTTGAAATATGTTTTAAAAATGATATTCCATATCAAAGTCTAATATGTTTTGCAAATATCTAAACTTATTATTCTTCCACTTAGATCAGTAGTTATTTTCAAGCATATAATATATATTCCCATGTAATCACATGGAAATACGTATTTTTTTCAAGTTGATGACAAAATAATATTATGGGTTAGAATATGTTTGTAGGCCATAAATATTTGTTTTAGTGTTTAAATATTCACTTTGTTGTTTTGGGAGTCAGGAACCTATACAATAGCTAAAGTAGTAGCTAAGGTAGTTTTTAGTTGGTAGTCCTAACCTCTCTTATTTATGAAGGTGTTAGTAATCTAGAACATGGATTGGCAAACTTTTTCTGTAAAGGGCTGGATGGTCTCTTGTCATAACTGTTCAACTCTGCTGTTGTAGGGGAAAAAGTAGCCCAGATGATTTGAAACCCAATTATTATGGCTATGTTCCAATAAAACTTTATTCATGGACACTAAAATTTGAATTTTGTATAATTTTCACATATCACAAAATGTTATTTAAATTTTTTTCCAACTATTTAAAAGTGTAAAACTATTCTGAGCTCACAGGCCTTATAAAAATGAGGGACAAGTATAGTTTGCTCACCCCTGAACGAGAAGATGGGAAGTGCCTTCTCCTTTGCTGACTCATTAAAAGGTTATTGCTGTTTTTTTTTTTTGACAGAGTCTCACTGCTCTGTTGCCCTGGGTGGAGTACAGTGGTGTCATTGTAGCTCACTGCAACCTCAAACTCCTGGGCTCAAGCAATCCTCTTGCCTCAGCTTCCCCAGTAGCTGGGACTACAGGCTTGAGCCACACACAACGCCTGGCCAATTTTTCTATTTTTAGTATAGATGGGGTCTCGCTCTTGCTCAGGCTGAGCTCAAGCAATCCACCAGCCTCGGCCTCCCAGAGTGCTAGGCTTATAGGTGTGAGCCACTGTGCCCAGCCTTTTTTTTTTTTGAAACAGGGTCTATCTCTGTCGTCATGGCTAGAACGCTGAGTAGAGTGCAGTGGTGTCATCATAGCTCACTGCAACCTTCAACTATTGGGCCCAAGCCATCCTCCTGTAACTGCCTAAACATTCTTTCTAAAAGGTCTGAGGAGCCAAAAAGCAATTTTATATAAGAGGAAGTGAAGGAGATCACTACAATACTTCCTTTGTTCTAAAACTGTTCTACACAAAGAAACAATGTATGACTTCAAAAGTAAACAGCAGCCAGGCATGGTGGAATGCACTCAACCACATTGTATATTTCCTGTATTTTAAGTTTTATAGAGCTGTGTTCTTAATATTCTTTTTTGTGTTAGGAATTGCTTTTCTATAATGCAATGAAATGAGAGGCTAGGTGTAATTTGTTTTCTATCATGGTAAAATTCTATGTTAAGTCCCATTTTTATTACTCAATTATTTCTTTTCTTTCTGCTGTCTTTAAATTAGAATATACATTGCTGCAATTGCTTTCATTCTGCTTTCCTGCTTTGCATTTACAAGTTTGTAATCATAAAGATACTTAAAATATGCAATTTATAACATACTAGATTCAGTATGCCACGCAGTTTTGCAATTGGGGCACTCCTTAGGAACAAAATCTCTGCCTAACTCGTTGATATTTAAAGTCGGCTGTGGTTTGTGTAGGTGTGTTTGTGTTCATGTAATTGGAAAGTATTGTTTTGAAACAAATTTTTAAATGTCATGGGGTTTAAAAAATATTTTGTGCTTGAAATTGGAAAGTATTTTGGGCTGTAACTAGTTCATTAACTTTTATCTACATAATATTGTCTACTAAATAACATCTTTGTTGCACATATTTTCCAGAAAGTGTCAGTTTATTATTCAAGTTATACTGCTTGGCAGTGATGACCCTGATGGCCGCAGCTTATACCATAGCTTTAAGATACACAAGGACATCAGACAAAGAACTCTACTTTTCAACCACAGCCGTGTGTATCACAGAAGTTATAAAGTTATTGCTAAGTGTGGGAATTTTAGCTAAGTGAGTATAAATACTTTTAGTGTGTTACATTATTGCTTTTCCACTTAGTTATTTTCTTTATTAGAAAATTCAGGCTATGTCTTTATATGTGTTTAATTGCTCTAGAGCAGTATTTCTCAACAAGGAGTGATTTTGTCCCTCAGGAATATTTTTTGGTTGTTACAACCTGGGGGATGCTACTGGCATCTGGTGGATAGAGGCCAAGAATGCTGCTAAACATCCTACAATGCACAGAATAGGCCCCACGACAGGAATTATCTAGCCCCAAATGTCAGTAATGCTGAAGCTGAAGAACCCTGCTCTAGAGCAGGGCTTGGCAAACTATGTCCTAGGGGCCAAATCCACCTTGCTGACTAGTTTTGTTGCAACGGAGATTGAATGGTTCGCAAACCCTAAAATATTTATTATTTAGGCCTTACAGAAAAAAATTGCTGACCTCTGTTTTAGAGGAGTATAATAATAAAGATTTCTTGAGTGTTTCCTGTGTTCCTAGTATTCCTTGAGTGCTAGGTATTGTGCTAAGTGCTTTTCATGAATTTTCTCATTTAGCCCTTATACATTTTCGAGGTAAGTACTATAATTACCCCATTTTGTCACTACAGCATCTGAGGTTCCTCAAGATCACACTGTTAATATGTGGCAGCACAGGGCTTTGAATTAGGAATATCATATAAGCATTGTTTTAGCTAAGGATGCAGTATAAGAGAGGGTTAAGAATAGGGACTTTGTAGTGAGACAGACATAATTTTAATCTTATACTGGGATAATGGCTTTATACTTGCTTCTTAACCTGTCTAAGCTTTAGTTTCTAAATTTTTTTAATTGGAGAAAATAATATGGGGTGGTAAAAATTAATAAAATCCTGTAAATACTTGGAGAAAGATTTATGAGATGGGGACCCATTTGAGTCATTGGGGCAGGTAAGAATTCAAATAGGTTTCAAGGTGTGTGTTGGAGAGAGAGGGGAAGCAGAGAGGAATAGTGTATGTGTAGCCTTTTACCTAGAAACAGACAAAGTGACATTTAAACATTTCTAAGTTCATTTAAAAATATTTATTGAATACATCCTGTGTGACAGTTTTTATATTAGGTCCTGGATATATAGGCGTGAATGAAATAGATATGGTCTCTGCTTGCTTGGAGGTTAGGTTTAGTGGAAGAGACAGAAAATAAACCAGCAAACATACACATGATTTCAAATGATCATGCGAAAAAGAATACTTCTAAAAATGGTTTGGGGAGGGAGAAAAGAAGAGAAAAATAACTTGAGACTGGATGGTAGAAAGTTTCCATACTTTGAGTTTAAAATTTATCTTGTAGGCAGAGATACTGTGGCATCCTAACTTGCAAGTAGGATAACGTATTAGACCCTTCATAGTTTCTTATTTAACAAGATTAATTTTTCTGAAACAAGAAGGCAGAACAGTTATCATGTTCAGCCTCAGCTGGGAATGTGTGTTGGGTGAATCAAATTTTTTACGGCTATTTGCATGACCGTAAAAGTGTTGCAAGTATTGATTTGGGGGTTACAAATAAATTTTAGTGAGTAGGAGAATTCACACATTCAGGCTGTGAATAATGAGGATCAATTAGAGTAGGTGAGGGGAAGGTAGGTATCAAGAATCCAATCTGTGTTTCCCAGTGTAAACAACTGGGCAGATAGTGTTGTTTATTTTTTTTCTGAGACAGGAAGAAAAAACAGAGTTGGGAGAAGATATCAACAGTTTGATTTTGGGTAGGTATAATGTAAGTTTTTAATGCCTTGAGATATCCAAATGTGCATGGAGAGTAAGCAGTTGTATTAAATGGGTCTGGAACTCAGAAGAGAGGTCTGGGCTAGAAACATAAGTTTGGGAGTTCTTAATACATAAAAGTGTATAATCTTATGGGATTAGAAGAGATTGTTAAAGGATAGTGATCTTGTAAAAGTATTCTTATTCGCATTGTCATTTAACTCCATATACCTGAAAGATTACTGTTTTCTAGACAGGATAACTGGAAACTCTGGAACTAATACAAAAAGGGACACATAGTAGGTGTTAATGGAAAAGAAGCCAAACTCTATAAAATAATTTTAAAGAGATTTATTCTGAGCCAAATTTGAGGACCATGACCCAGAGCCACACCCTAGAAGCCTTGAACAAGTGTACTCTGTGGGTGGGTTACAGTTTGGTTTTATACATTGCAGGGAGACAGGGGTTACAGGTAAAGTCATAAATCAATACGCGGGAGGCATACCTTGGTTTGGCTAGAAAAGGTGAGCCATCTCGAAGCGGGGGCTTACAGGTTATAGGTGGGTGGAAAGATTCTTTGACTTGGAATTGGTTAAAGACCTGAAGCTTTGCCTAAAGGCTTGGAATGTTTTAAGAAAAGGAGGTCTGTTAATCTGAGACAAGCCACAGGACATTTGTTGTGTGAATTGAGGACCCACAGGTGTGTCTTGGATACCCTTAGGCCTGTTAATGGATTTGAGGTGGTAGAGGGTTTCTGTAACTAGGGAATCCTATTTGGACAGAAATCATGATGGCAATTTAGGTCAAATGGCTGAGAAGCCATTGTCTTTGGTTCTTTCTCTTCCCTTTTATGGCCTTCCCTGGGGTAGTAGTAGAGGGGTTGCATGCCCTGAATCGTGGGTATCTTTACATCCACACTAGTATGGTAAAACCTTTGTGGGCTGAAGGGTATAACTGGCTTCCTAAAACATTGGAAGACAATAGGGCTAATCCCAATCCCAAATCTTTTCTTTGTTCTAGTTATTTGCTGTGGTTTGGGGTTTGTTTTCCCTACCAAAACTCATATTGAAATTTGATCTCCAGAGTGGCAGTGTTGGGGGATGGGGCCAATTGGTAAGTGTTTGGGCTACGGGTGGATCCCTCATGAATGGCTTGGTGCTGTTCTTGTGGTAGTGAGTTCTGGCTTTCAGGAGACTAGATTAGTTCTTGCAAGAATGGATTAGTTCCAGAGAGACCAGGTTGTTATAAAGTCAGGATGCCCCTCAGGTTCCCTTCTCTTTGCACGTGCCTCTTCCCCGTGGACTACTCTGCTGTGTTGTGACGCAGCAGGAAAGCCCTCACAGGAAGCCAGGGACATGCCCTTGAACTTCTCAGCCTGCAGAACTGTGAGCTAACCTCTTTTCTTTATAAATTACCCAGTCTCAGGTATTTTTTTATAGCAACACAAAACAGACTAAGATAATGTTTATAATAATTAAAAAACTAATTAAAAATTATAAATGCAATTTACTTGAAATTTTTAGAATATTTAACTTCTCAGAAGAAATATAGACTTGCTTCAGTGAAGAGAACCTGATATATACTGGGGCAACAAAGATTATGGATTTCCTTTTTGTATTCAGAAAAAAAGTAAAATCACATTTCTTTCAGGGTGTGGCAAAAGAACAGAGGGCAGAGATGCATACCTTGGTGTGGTCTCTAAGAAAACTGGGCAATAAATACGAGGACACCATTTAAAATATGTTATTGCTATAAGTTAAAATTCCCATAAAAAAACAAAGAATAATGTCCCTTTTGGGGACTGTTGTGAAAAATGCATTTTTGAAAACCTGATGGGCAGACACCTTCTTTTCTTTAGAAAGAAAATAACTATGCTCTGTAGAATACCAGCTGTTAATGGTTGTCAAAATGTGTTAATGTAAAGTGCCAGACATCCTCCTTTAAGATTGCAGCAACTAAATTTGTTGCCTTCAGTCATTCAGGGTTGTTGCTATTGAGACTGGCAGGCTGCCAGAGAGTGACAGTAGTAAGGAGACATTCTTTCATGTCCTGCCTTAGAAACAGGTGAGGGAAACATGCAGGTAAATACAGCTAATTTTCATTTCATTCTTGTGCAGGTTCAGTATCCCTTATCCAAAATGCTTGGGACCAGAAGTGTTTTAGATTTCAGAATTTTTTGGATTTTGGAATATTTGCATTAATATTAGTTTGGGTTGCCGGGGATGGACACGCTTGAAGCTTGGACTTGTGGGGAGAGGGGGGGGCAAGGAAACATACGTAACCTAAACATCTGTACCCCCATAATATGCTGAAATAAGAAAAAAAAAATATTAGTTTGGGTTGAGCATCCCAAACCTGAAAAATCTGAAATCCGAGCATTTCATTTGAGCATCATGTCAGCACTCAGAAAGTTTCAGATTTTGGTGCATTTTGGATTTCAAAGTTTGGATTTGGGATGCTCAACCTGTATCTCCATTTTAGTCGTAGCTATTATTTCCTCTTCTTTGATGAGAAATCTTAGGCTGAGGCAAGTTTTAATTTGCCAAAGATACCTACAAAGTAATTGGCAGTGATAGAATTAGAAGACAAGTTTCTTATCTCTAATTTTTAAATTATGGATTTTTCAGAACAATGAAATAATTGAGCAGTTTTTTGATTAGTATTGTTAGACGTTTATGTAGTTTCCAATAATTTTATTTTTTATTTTTTTATCTTAAACTTTTTATCTCCAAGTGTAAACTTTTTACCATGTGTTTTAATTTGGGCTCCTACAATAAAATACAGAATGAATGGCTTCAGCAACAAACATTTATTCCTCATAGTTCTGGAGGCTAGAAGGTCTAAGAACAAGAGGCCAGCAGATTAGGTGTCTGGTGAGGGCCCTCTTCCTACTTTGCTGACAGCTGCCTTTTTGATGTGTCTTCAACTGATGGAGAAAGAGAGAACTATGGCCTCTTCCTCTTCTAAGGCACTAATCCCATCATGGGGATTCCACTCTCATAACCTCACCTAAACTTAAGACCCACCTCCAAATACTATCACATTGGGGATTAGGGCTTCAACATATGAATTTTAGGGGGGAACACAAACATTTGGTCCACAGCATATGACACATACAATAAAACATGTATAGTTTATTATATTATCTCTATGTGTGTATTTGTGTGCATGTATATAATTTTTTCCTGATTTGAGAGTAAGATTTACACAAAATGCCCCTTTGTCCTTAATATTCTTCAATGCATATTTCCTAAAAACAAGGACATT